TATGTATCGAAAGATACATGATCGCCTAAGTGTATATCACGCATGAAATTCTACTGAAAAAGATGTGAAAATTCCCCTTTGAATAAGATGGGCGTAATCTGAAAATCTGATTTGGAAGACAACCCCAAGCGGAGATTCTTTCGAGCCACTGTAGAAGCGGCATTAATGTAGGGGTACTACTACTACTTAATTAAACCGCTATAGTCTAAGCTTGATGAAACCTACACTCGGCTCTGAAAAACAAGGAGCAATTATAGGTCGCCATTTTTTGTTATTTCTTTTATGTTGTCATATCTTTTCAATATACCCGTCTATGGTGAGTCATTTTTTTATCTTTATTCTTTCTCCAGTTTGGTTTATACATCTTTTTGTACATATTTGGTTAGACGGAGACATTAGCTTCTTTTTACATCAAAACAAGAGCTCTTTAATGTGACATACTTTTTTTTTTATTATCACCCTTGACTACGTATTGAAAACTTTATTCGTCAAATATCATTATCTGGGTTTTACTTTATTACCAAGACTCAAGTCGCTATCATGCAAAAAAAAAAAAGTTGATATATATTGACTCTGCAAATGACAAGGCTATTATTGCAGGCACCATTACTAATGCCATTGTTTTACATCTAGAAAATGCTGCCACTGATGTTTGGACTATGTCACTGCCCCTAAAACTGAATTTATAGGCTTCGACTAGCAAGGCACAAAACAGTCACAGGTGAATCAATAAAATCTTTCTTTTTTTTTTCTATATAACTAAGGGAAATAAATTTTACTAAAAAGGATGTAAAAATTTGCATAACTAAAGCCTGGGATGCATTCATAAAATTGACGTTATCTGGAAACATGATCTACAAGACAACCTCAAGCGGAGATTCTTTTGAGCCACTGTAGAAGCGGTATTAATGTAGGGGTACTGCTGCTTAACTAAAACTCTATAGTCTAATTTTGATGAAATCTACACTCGGATGCTGAAAGCTATTTAACATCTGTTGGAGACAACATCTAAGTAAATCACAACTCTATAGTCCCATCCCTGATTATATCTACAATCTTATGCGAACGCAGAATGCGCTTTGCAGACTTGCGAGTGATCTACTGACCTGGATACGTAGCCATGGCGTAAGACGAGCTCGTTGCCCAGCAACCAACCTACATTAACCAGCCAGGTTATGCCACCCTAATGAGTTTCCAACCTTGATGCAGGACCTTGATAGTTGGCGTGATAGCTCAATCGAATAGATAATAAAATACCGTATACACACGCGTATCATGCAACTTTTGAAGACCTAATTTTGAAGTTAATTTTAACGGGGGTAGCATCATACACAAATTAGCGTATGTGCTACTGGCTTTGGCTACGCCGTTGATCAAACACTGTATCCGTTTACTGTAGTCAAATTAGCTTCAAAATTAGGTCTTCAAAGGTCGCGTGATACGCAAATATATATATATATACGAATATAGATTCTACTGAAAAGGGTGTAAAACTTTGCAGGCTAAAGCCTGGGCGACCTTGAATAAGATGAACGTAATCTGGAATTTGATCTACAAGACAACCTCAAGCGGAGATTCTTTTGAGCCACTGTAGAAGCGGTATTAATGTAGGGGTACTACTACTTAACTAAAATTCTATAGTCTAAGCTTCACTCGATTTCTGAGAGCTATACTTAACATCTTTTGCAAGCAACATCCAACTCAATTACAGCTCTATAGACCCATCCTTGATGTTTCTGCGATCTTAAGCGAATACAGAATTCGCTTTGCAGGGTAATTCTGGTGAGCAAAAGAATAACTTGCGATTTGTCTACTGCTCAGGACATAAAGCCATGGAGCAATGCGGGTTGGTCGCACAGAAACCGTCTACATTAACCAGCCATGTTATGACACAGAATGCTATCTTAATGACCTTTCGACCTTGATACAGGACGGTAATATTTGCCGTAATAGATAAATGAATGTACAAGCTAGTTCGATCCAATAAAAATAAATAAAACTTTTAGCCATTGTGTGAGTTATTACCAAAAAAACATCCACAAGGAAATGAGCTTTATCAAAATTGAAATTCTGAACCGTTATTGATCGTTCGTATTTCGTTCACATATTCTTTCTGATCAGAGTAGTTCGTCAGCCTCCATTGTTACTCGGTAATTTCCAATTCATGTCAGAGAATGACGCTAATACCCGTTTATATTTCAAACAGCAGAAGCCCGATTTTAAAGCAGCTGCTTTGAACAAAACACATTTGTTCGATGAATTATACTTCATACTTCTAATCTGATCAATTAATCGTCGAATTAATGCATAAAATTGCTGGTGAAAATGTCGTTGGATCACAATTAATTCCACTTGTCGACGGCGTGTAAAAAGTGAGTTCTCATATCGCCTTCATTTTAAATGCTTATCAATTTAAACAAAGAATGGATTCACTGCTTGGACAGATCAAAATGGCATTCTTATGAATATGAGTCACAAGACGGAATCGGAATTGCCATTAAGAAACACCGCTTTTGGAGAATGTTCTGAGAGTGTTATTTTCTTTAGTTCCTCGTTTTTAGAGACACCATTTTTCTTTTATTCTTTACGCATATTTGTTACAGCTAGCTTAATCTATCACGGAAGCAAATCAGGTTGGAAACGAGAGGAAGAGTGGATCGCACCAAAGTTGGAGAGGTCGTCATGCCTTGAAAATCTGCAAACTTGGGCAACAGAAACCGGTGCGTTCTTCTTTGTGGATTTAAACATGGTAATTCAGCAAGCCTATTCTACAGCCTTCTTCAGATGCCTGTACGCATAAATTCCATTGCTCATTGAAGCATCACGTGCACTGTATCCGTAGTAGTAGTAGTAGTAGTAGTAGTAGTGTGTCTTTGAAAAATTACCCTGACAGAGCCTAATAATCTTCAGGCTGGCTTTTGAATTCAGAGTCCTTCTCCGAGAGTGGTTGCAACCTAACACTAGAAAGCGCAGTTTCTTCTTTTATTTACCCCATATCTTGTGGGTATTAGAAATGGATTTATAATTGATATGTCCCGGAAAGGGATATATTTGATCGAAGTAGCAAAGTGGTTGTTGACTGCTGTAACTGAGTAGAACAATCTAGCAGGTAACTGTAATGGACTGGTCCTCGTAGTGGTAGGCAATAGACGTAGGCAATAGGCGTCCTCCTGTACCTCCACATCAGTCTGTATTTATGGCTGACACCAGAGAATCATATTACTGTGAGGGGATACCAAGGTGTATGCATATTCATTACATCACTAACTTTCCCAAGAGTATTTTTGTTTGAAAGTGGATATAACGAACTTGACCTTGATCCCTGTCCTTCTCTTTATTTTTTTCCTCAAACACCCTTTTTTACTCTTACTCTCACTCTCTGTAATCCCTTGCATGCTAGTGGCACTCCCGCCTTACTAAGGACGATTTGTTTAAAAAAAAAAAAAAACAGATTCAAAGATTCTTATTTATTTAATAACGGATTCCATTCTTCAATTGTATGCGGGTAATTTCGGAGTTTTGAAAAGGACTATAACAATCTGAAGTTCAAGTTATTAAGGAATTGCTTCGACACATTAACGGACAGATGTTCTTGAACGAATGTTGCTGTAAGTTAAGCAACAAAATAAGCATCAATACCGAACATAGATAAAATGAGTGACCACACACTGGACAGAATTCAAGCAGAGGCAAAAAAGTTTTGGTAGATTTCCATTTAGATATTTAATGGAACAGATATGAATAACGAGCCTCAACTTTTATATTTCCCATGCCTGTATATATTTTCTCCTTCCCCACTCACCGCAACGAGGGAGCCTCTTGATTTGTCCAATGGGTAGAATACAGCGGACTCTCATTTTGAGGGTTGGACGTGTCCTACTAACATAGTTTGCTATGTGTTGATATTTAGTTTGTTTGTGGGGTTCATTCCCTCCCCTCTCATTTTAGTCATCCATAAATTTTTATGCATAAATTTTATAATCACCAGGGCGCGTTTTGTAGCCCCACACCCCCTTGAGAGGATGCGGTATTATGGTGTATGGAGGATTGATTGGTGACAGACGAGTTTTTTTTATGGTGAATGTGCAAATTGTAATGATTGAATGGGTCGTGAATCGGATTAGCTAGGTATAAGATAGTGATGACCAGCCTCAACCCCACATCACTTTTCGGCCTCGTTCCATAATTGTATTTATTACAATATATATAAATATGAATAACGAGCCATTTTGAATTCTTTGTGCGGAGAAAAATTTTCATAACGTTGTTTGTTGAAAGTTAAAGACTGGGCTGAACACTTTTGTGCACAACTCATATAACATTTGAAAAAAATAAAATAAAAGCATAAACAGTACTACTGAAAAAGCTATGGATTTTTTTTAATTGAATTTAGATGCAAATTCAGATGCTAAAAACTACAGGAATTTAAAGCGTAGATTCTATAAAACTTGAAAAACAAACAACAGCTTCGTGTTGAGACGTCAACTCCAGTTTGTAAATGTTTTTTTTTTTTTAAATATTTCAAATGTAAAGATAATGCCTATGGTATTATCTTTCATCAGAACACACGTTCATATATCTATCTATATATATATATATATATATATATATATATATATATATATATATATAAAAAAATTCTCGTGCTTGTTTTGTCGGGTGTGTTCTTAAAAAGAATTGTATAGAAAACCTGTTTCTATGACAATTTCTCACAGTACAATATCAGTGGATACACATATATTGTAAAACTTATCGGCACAGAACGATGAATCGCTGAGGTGATTTCAAATTCCGGCATAGTCTAGTGCTTTCACTTTCTCACAAATATCTGAAAAGAAATTCATGAATTTACATCTTCCCCAGTTATGGGTTAAATAGCACGAAAAACGAAAAGATCAAGTCGGAATTCTAAACGAAATCGAGATGTCAACTCCAGTATCTTTCCAAAGATGTCATTGTAATTCATTTATAATAAATAGATAGAAAAAGACTCTGAAGGCTTACGGACATATCACGTTGAAACACCGGTTCCCGTACGATGACTGAAGTTAAGCAATGTCGAGCCTTGTCATTATCTAGAGAGGTGACCACTTGTGAATACCAGATGCTGTAAGTTTGGATGTTATGAATAATGACCCCGGTATTTTGAATCGGAGAGTCGAGTTCCAATTCCAGTAGGGTTCGTTATATTCACTTAGGAGCAAATACCCTTGGGAAAGGCATGAACCCGCCTTTCTCTTTCCCTAGTATTGGATTAATTAGTAAGAATCGTGGCACCAAATCATTATAATCTCCATGCCCGCCCCAAATAATTTTTTCTCAAAATCTAAAAATATTTTCTGGCTTTAAATAACCTGCAAAGGGTTGATAAACCATAGAAAATGATTCAGTGAAGCACATAAAACTCTTGAGAAAGCAATTATCCTTTTATGTCCCGAAGAGGACATGGCATTTATAAATGTCTAATGTCTCATTTCATCAAGGATTTCTACCGGGATTCATTTATTTCTAAAATTCTTCTCAGCATGTAGGAATATTCTTTCAGCAGCAGATAAATAACCAAATATAGATAGGATGAATGTGTTTACATTGTCTGCGATCCAGAATGCTTATACAAAATTTTTAGTTTCGCGAAATGTTTTTCCAAACAGATTTTAAAATTCGTATATAACAATTGATATTATTTACATTATTAGGACCATTGTCCTCATCTTTGTCGCCATATTTATTACAACGTTTCGACCGTTTTACGCTCCGGCCTTCTTCAGGTGGTTGGAATGTCGAACTAAACCCTTTATTTCGTTCACTGGGGTAGACTGTTCTATTTCCATGTACAATGTTTTAATGGATTTCAGTTATCAGTTAACTCCTGTTAATTCCCCTCTCCAAGTTCTCCACCGCCTTAACCAGATATTGAACTCACGCTCTTTGGGTCCTGTCACTGGATCTAGCTAACGCCTTTATTCACTGTGCCATGTGTCCTTGAGCGTACAATGGCCGAAAGGTTGTAATAAATATGGCGACAAAGATGAGGACAATAGTCCGAATAATGTAAATAATGTACATAATACTTCATCTCAGAAATATAGACAGATACTGAAAGGCCGAAACGTTGTAATAAATATGGCGACAAAGATGAGGACAATAGTCCGAATAATGTAAATAATGTACATAATACTTCATCTAAGAAATATAGACAGATACTGAAAGGCCGAAACGTTGTAATAAATATGGCGACAAAGATGAGGACAATAGTCCGAATAATGTAAATAATGTACATAATACATCATCTCAGAAATATAGACAGATACTGAGAGGCCGAAACGTTGTAATAAATATGGCGACAAAGATGAGGACAATAGTCCGAATAATGTAAATAATGTACATAATACCTCATCTCAGAAATATAGTCAGATACTGAAAGGCCGAAACGTTGTAATAAATATGGCGACAAAGATGAGGATAATAGTCCGAATAATGTAAATAATGTACATAATACCTCATCTCAGAAATATAGTCAGATACTGAAAGGCCGAAACGTTGTAATAAATATGGCGACAAAGATGAGGACAATAGTCCGAATAATGTAAATAATGTATAATACAATCTCAGAAATATAGACAGATACTGAAAGGCCGAAAGGTTGTAATAAATAAAAAGATGAGGACAATAGTCCGAATAATGTAAATAATGTACATAATACCTCATCTCAGAAATATAGTCAGATACTGAAAGGCCGAAACGTTGTAATAAATATGGCGACAAAGATGAGGACAATAGTCCGAATAATGTAAATAATGTACATAATACCTCATCTCAGAAATATAGACAGATACTGAAAGGCCGAAACGTTGTAATAAATATGGCGACAAAGATGAGGACAATAGTCCGAATAATGTAAATAATGTACATAATACTTCATCTCAGAAATATAGACAGATGCTGAAAGGCCGAAACGTTGTAATAAATATGGCGACAAAGATGAGGACAATAGTCCGAATAATGTAAATAATGTACATAATACTTCATCTCAGAAATATAGTCAGATACATAACAATTGATGATTGTTTTCAAACACTTAAATCGGAATATTCGGTTTTGCTCGCACTAAATGATGATACATTTTTTCCCCTCATAAATGGTGATGTCTGCTCCCCCGCCCCAAATATTTCCCAGGAGCAATATGTATTTTATTTCTTTCCCACCCATAAATCTCGATCATATGTCAGATTTAAAGTTAGCACGTCCAGTCGAACATTTGCCAGCTTGAGAAAAAGCCAAAGATGCGAGCTGTGAATCGGATATATCAACATTAAGCCAGTACAGAAGTTGAAATATTTAAGGGTGTGCTTAACAGCGGATGGAAAACGTGAAACCGAAATTTGCACGCACATTGGATAGTAAAAAATGCCTTCCTAAAACTAAGCAAAGAACGAGGAAAAAATTTGAAAATTTCTTTAGAAACAACAACAGTGCTAAAATACTATGCAATATCAATCCTCCTCTATGGTAGAGAATAGAGCACGATCTCTTCACAGATGAAGAGAAAACTGGAAGCAACGTTGATCTACAGAAGGATGCTGAGAATACCATGAAAGGAATAGGGGGATATGTAGAAAGATTTAAGGAAAATGGAAACAAACAGGAGACATATTCAGAATCCGAAAAAAAATAGTTTAATTTTCTTGTCACATAATAAGACAGGATTTGAAGAATTCAAGACTCACAGGGCAAATCGAAGGCAAAAACGTCATCGGGAGGTAGTGGGCCCTCTAAATGACGAATTTGTGTGAGTCAATGTGGAACCCGTAATAAGGGGAAATGCAAAATAAAAAAAAACAAACGTTGCTAAGAGCTACAAGTGACAGAAAGTCGTGGTGAGCCATGATCGTCCATGTCCCGAAGCGACACGACACTGGAGAGAAAAAAAATTAACATGACATTTGACACTGAAAGGAATTGGTGCCATTCCTAGACCATGTTTAGCCTTTTTTTTTTCTTGGATGTCATTTTTAGGGTTGTGGGTGCGGACAGGGCGAAAAATAGAAAAATAGAAAGGCAGAAACTTGGTGGTATTCAAAGAAACAACAAAAGAAAAACTGTTGAAATCACAAAAGAATAAGAAAACGAAAAAAGACCGCATAGAAAGATATCAGCCAATCAGTTATGTCCTCTGCGTGATACACGCTTCGCCGATCATGTATCTTTCGATACATAACTGACGAGGCAGATTTTTTTCCCCGCAGTACGTTGCCATTTCTTACTGCGATAGTTGCTAATTACCCATAGCTGGGAGGAGAAGAAGAGATTTCATACCTTTCCCAATGGTATTAGCATGTAAGTAAACGTAATGGATTCGATTGGAATTCGAAATCGGCTCTCCGATTCCTCAATCCGAGCCGCTATTCATTACTCTACCGTCGCAAGGTCAGTATTGACAATACAATGCCCAAGAGCCACTCAAAGTAAAAATAGGTTATTTTATGAAAATCAGAGGAGAAGATAAGATGTGCAGATTATGAGGTCAATTTAACGGTTGATCTTCGGTTTTGAGAAGACAACATTGCATTGACCAGGGAAGCATCATCTCTTGAGTCCGGTCTACAATGCAAGAGTTCTGGGAAAGATCTGTCTCGGTGTACGTGGAATGGAGAAACCTACCTGTGAAACTCTGGACTGGTAGAACCAAGGAATGTAGTTCGTCCGAACATCTGTCGAGGAAAAAAAATAGAATGAGTAACGAAAAGTTTGAACGTTTCGCCCGTTGAAAAGGGGTTGTAAAGTAAAAAATAATTTATCACCCACAAGGCCGCGCAAACGTTTTGGGATTCTGACAAGGCTGGAAAGAGAGGACTGGTTAACATTCCAGATATGACAATAGAACTTCATTTTTATCTGATCTGACTTTTGCTAAAACTGAGAATGGCAGGAGCACTTATTTACTTGCTGGAGAGGTATCAGTGGCAACGTTATTGCTAATTTAAAGGAAGTGAGAGAAGGAGAAGTAGAAGCGCTCCCTAAGGGAAGCCCAATGGAGCACAGACAGGTTTTGAATTCAGAGTTTTTCTTTCTACTATCCACCCAATGCTACAGGACCCATAGCTTGGGAGGGGGGAAGAAGAGGATTCAAACCTTTCCCAAGGGCATTAACACGTAAATGAATGTGATGGATCATTCTGGATCGGCTTTCCGATCACTCAATCTTATCCGCTATCCATTACTACACCGTGCCTCCTACGGGGATTTTTCAGCTTGGGATAACCTTGAATGCGAAACAGGCGTTCAAGGCAATGTTGACAGAATAACCGTTCATCATCCTAGGCAAGCTCAGGTCTGTCCGGTCGATAATAGAACGTTACTAGTTTATTATAGCGATAAAATCAGACATGTTTTTAAAATCAATTTATAAAAAGAGAAAAAATTACAACAAAAAAGAAACAATTCCTAAGAAAAAAAGGAGGTAACAAAAATATATATTACAAAGAAATGATAATATTGTGCCATGCTAGACGATTTTTCTCATCATTAACTTTCTTCTATAGTTATAAGTCTACCGTTAGTCCATGTATTGAATATTACTGTCACATCTCGTCCAGCGCTCCAGTTATATATTTAGAGATTCTTGATAAAAACCAAAGAAGAATCTGCAATATTATTGGTCCTGACCTAACATCTCAGCTTCAATCACTTTTCCACTGCCGTAACTTCGCTTTCCTGTGCTTTTTCTATAAATATCTTCATCGCAATTTATTTGAGGAGATTTTCTCTTTCGTATCTAGTTTTTATGAATTTATTGGTAGTACTAGATTCGCGGCAAGATCCGATCAGTTTACTGTTGAAATTTCTAGATCCAAACCGTAAGTTCTATGCTAATAGTTTCTTCTCTCGCATTTCTCGTTTGTGGAACTCACTTCTTGCTTTCAAGTCAAGTTTGATCTTCCAAAGTTTAAATGCAATGCCAATCGTTATTTTCTGTCTTCTTAATTCTTGTTTCTTTATTGTTCTCTCTTCTTAATAAGTTTTTTTCTTCTCTCATATTCTTTTACACTCAGTAACTCATTGCCTCTTAGTGTCTTTATTGCCTTCCTTGGGTGAAATGATTAAAACAAAGAT